TATATATATATATATATATATATATATATATATATATATATATATATATATATATATATATATATATATATATGTATATATAACTCATTATTTCACAAATAATGCGAAAGATACAAAACAATCTTACCATTTTAACCCTTAGTTGAATCACGAAATATGTTTGCCAAGTATGACGTGAAAAAAGCAGTAATTAATATAAATACAACATCCATAAAATTTTTAAATAGATTTTTGTTGCGTTGTAGTTCAGCATATTCTCTTTGCTTTTTTGCAACTTGTTCTACAATGTGTTGTATACGATTTAGTTTCTCACTGTGCTCTAGCATTTGATGTTCTACTTCTTTTATTATGTCTATTATCCTGAAATTAATATTTAATATATATTATTATCAAGATTGTACTTTCTGCATGTGTCAGTGTGTATTATAAATTTGACACGAATTTCGCTATGATTGCAACTTTATAATACTTCAAAATTTCATCTTACCTAGCAGTTGAACGTCTTCTTTTTCCTAACGATTGACTAGAATCGGTATGTGCTTCCGCGGATGAGCTTCCAGAATCATGAGCTGTCTCTGTCAGAGGCATATTGTTAGATAGTTGTCTCTTTGAAGATTTGAGCACTGATAAGGAAGAACGCGATTCAGCTTGTAACAATGGAATCTGTAATGATTATTGTTTGTATATAATCTAAATAATATTCTTAATAGCACAAACATTTTCAAGTTAACGTGTATAATTGAATCTGTGGATATATAATAAATAATATATTTTCCAAAATATTAGTAAAAAAATAAAACCTATACTTTTTACATAATTTTTGAACTTAAAGCTTCATTCAATTCTCCATATTAAAAAAATCTCTTGGTATTTCTTTTTTGCTAGTAAATCGTTTATTACTTAAGTTAAATAGATGTCGATGAAAGAATTGGAATCTTACTTGTGACTGTTACAAATATGTTAAAAATGCACAATATGTAATAAGCAGAAGGAAAAGTGTAACATTCTTCCATAATAGCATGTGCAATATTTTATATATATTCTTCACTAATGCAAATTTAATTTCATTCTTTTTTGTTGTTAAGATCTTGATATTATTCCTTGTATTACGTTTCTTCTCTGACGGAAGTAGCATATGTTTTGTGACGTATGTAGCTACTTTAGAAAGATGGCAATATGCACATGCAACATGCAAAAGACAGTTAAAATTATAGAGAAAATTCAATTATTAAAGTTATATGTTTATTTTTTAGGTCCCTAAGATATATATGTATTTAAGATTTACTTTAAATGTAATAATTCTAAATAAATATTTTCTTAGGTTTACAGTATAGCTTTAAGAATCTTAGCTTTAAGATTCTAAAAAGTATGTAACATTGGAGATAAAAGCAATTTTATGAATAAATTTTATAACAATTAATACTAATATAATTAAACTAACAGACTACAGATAAAATGAGACAAGTTTATTACAAATATTGAATATGTATACAATCTATTCAAATCTATTAATAGTAGATAAAATAAAATGAGATATAACATGTACAGATGCTCAGAGAGTAGGACTGTCAAAAAAGATGAAAGTAACTAAAGCAATTAATGTTACTTATATGCGTACAAATAGTAAATTAGCATGCATAATGCAAGTTAAATGCCATATTGCTATACCTGTGATTGCGGTTCAGTAGAAACAATACTACCAGTACGCATAATAGGTGTTTTGTGTCTAGTTTTTGTGCGCACTACGTAATTTTCTTCATATTGTACTACATCATTTCTCGGATCCCATGGTCTTACGTCAGCATGGCGATAGACCCAATTTCCCGTTATAATATCCTATTGACGCAAAACACACAAATTATATTATTTGGCAGATATTAACAGTGTAAATAACTATATAAATATTAAAGTAACGTAAATCTTTCGTACTTGAACAAAGTTTTTCGGGACCCATTCCTGTCCTAAGATTTTCCGTTCTTTGGCACGTTCTCTTTGTGCTTCTTCAAGTTGGGTTTTAGCTTGAGTAGCTGCAACTTGATCATCATTATCAATAGCTACTGTAACAGCATGCCATAATTTTTCGCTTTCCCACGGTCCTTGATATTCCATAGGGACAGTGTATTTCTTTAATCTATTCTTGCGTACTTCGGAAGTTGGATTGAAGAATGCACTTTCTTGCTGCAAAATAAAATATTTTTTTTATAATTAGTTAAAGTTATCGATCAAAATTCGTATTTAACTTACCCCTGTTCGCTTATCCGTTATAGAAATTTGTCCATCCCAATATCCGGATATAGTAGCAAGAGTTTCTTTTCCTAGACGTATTCGTCCCACAACTTGATTCATTAATTCTGCACCGCCAAGGAATGGCTAAAAATGTCAGTTATTATTATATTGAGGATTCTTGATTTATTGGTGACTTTAATATATTGCGGACGACCAAAATAGCGTTGCATATTACCTTCAGTTTAAATTCTAATTCTGACTGATAGCCAGTTTTCTCACATATTATGTTCACTTTTCCGCCAAGTTCCATGGACAACGTTCCCATAAGTAAACCTTTACAGTGTGCATAAGGAATCGTCATTGTGTAATCTTCACCTCTTGGTAGCATTGTCAATATAGCGACTCCATCTAAAACTGCAGAGGTTGAATTTCCTGTAAAAATAAAAAATATAAAAGTCAAATTATGGCTGGATATTAAAAATGCCACTCTATGATATTATGTTTAATAATGGCATAAGAATATACTTACCATAAAATTTAGACTTTGCAATAATTGTAGCGCTAATAGTAAATCCATCTTGACGGTTTGTCACATAGAATCCTGAGATAGGTGGGTGATGCGATAACTAGAAATATATTTAGACACATGAATATACACATATTAAGGTAGAACATAATACATGTATATTAAAAACATCAATACTTTATAGCATATATACTGTGACTCCGTATTTGTAAAAAAATCTGATATTAAAATTAAAACAGGTATTTATGAAGCATTCTGATAATAGATAAATTGATTAATATACTGTTAATATAAATTATCTTCTGATAATTACTTGCTCGGCTAAATAGAATGTTCTTGAACCATTAGGATGTTGCCAATAGCAGCGGAATGTTTCACCCAAAAGTGGATTGTATGGCTTTTTCAGGCCTTGTGGTTTCTTGTAAAATCCTGATAAGTACCATTTCACTACAGTTTTCATACGTGTAAATGCATCATCCTCCAATACTGCTCTGTACAATAAAGCCAAGTTGAAAAATTTGACTTTCTTATTACATTAAAGCAAAACATAATATATTATTATGTATTACTAACTGGGACAATATATCAGCGTGATAATATGAATCAGCAAGTTTTTCCAGGAATGAACGTGGTTCCAAGACAAAAGTTGGTAATACAACCTTAGACAAATCCATACCAGGACGAACTTGTTTTAGTAAGAACCATATCAAAGATTTTTGTTCTTCTTGTAATTCTGCAACAACTTCTCCAGCCTATTTATAAATAATAAACATATTATACAGGAAAAACGTAATATTGTTATATTATAATAACATAGTATTAACATAATATTAAAAACATAATATAGATTAAAAACATAATATAGATGTAAATGTAAAATATATAACATCGCATATTTATGAGAAAATTAAAATAAAGTGACAGGAGAACTTGCCGTGTGTGTGTGTGTGTGTGTGTGTGTGTGTGTGTGTGTTATAATTAATATACAAAAAACTATAAATATATTTTCAGAACAATTGAAGTATTCACATACAACTGATACTTACCGCTCCAAGAACTTCATTCTCATGGGATACATATGGTGTTTCGGTAATTGGCTCTGATTGATCTTCCTTGGCAGATACTTCAGACTCGCTATCCGAGGCACTGATTTCAGCATCAGCTGCTACTCCATTCTCTGGTTGACTGATATCGTCCAGGTCTGTATGCGAGGTGTACACAGGATCTAGCGTTACTACTTGATGGGTGTCGTACTCTAAGACGTACACAGAAGGAATAGTCATGCGACATGCTGAGGAAATTGCTGGATGAGATGCTGAAGCGAAATGTGAAAAACCAGATGGTTGATTATTATCACCACCTGGTTCTTCAACAGAAATCAAAGATGTAGCATTCTCCTGATCTATGCCAGGTGTTGGGGATTGGTCAAATAACTGTTTTTCCCAATATGCAACCGCATGATAAAGATGTTGAAACATTGGAGTTGGTGAGGGACAAACGCTTCTAGGATCACGCGTTATAGCAGGTGAGAGTGGCTGTGGACACGATAACAAGCGTCTTTGAGGTGTTGTAGGTGATTTTGGAACGTAACGACTTAGATATACTGTTGATGCACAAAAGCAGGGCAAGAGAATATTAGGATGATAAATAGCAAGGAAAAAATAACAGTTGATCATTACTTCGAAAATCTTGTTATAAATGCCTAAATTTTCATCAATGCTCTATTACAGTATAATTTAAACGTATTTAGAAATAAAAATATTTTTATATCTTCTAATGTTTCAAGACAAGATAGTTAAATCTTAATAATAATTAATTGGTCTTAACATTAAATTCTTTGAATTATTCATAAATAACTTTGATTAGTATTATTAGTTTATGCTTCAAACAATTAAACATTATCTTATCATGGATTAAAAATTGCAAATGGATAACACTACTTTATTTTCTATTTAATTCAAATGAACTGAAATTTGTTGACACTGTAATTTAGCATATATTTACTGAAATATTTAACGTTGTAAATTTAAATAGTACTAAATGATAATGTAAATTTATCATATTTTGATTAAAAAAATAATTAAATCCCCAAATGATCGTTATTACTGTTTATCAAGTTTGGTTATATAATATTATGTACAAATTATGTAATAGAAAAGTTAATTATCGAATTAATTACTTTTATCAATAACTTAGCAAACTAATAAATCACCATGCATTATTCACAAAAATTATACTTTTTATAAAATAATTTTTCTAATTAATAGATGTCTTCAAGAATCCCCACGTTATTCCCTACTTAATCGTAACCAACTGTTCCATAAAAAATATCGATTATCTACGATTCTTTTTTTTTTATGATTCCGATATATATATATATATATATATATATATATATATATATATATATATACACACACACGCGTACATATAATTAAATGGATATTTATGTATATATATGCATTCGATATATGTGTATATATTCATAAATATAGACGTTTGAAAAAATGTCATGTAAAATCTTGAAGGGCGGTGTCGTAGTTTTGCAAATTGCGACCGCGCTATGACGATTCAAAATAATATATGAAAAAGCGCAGGCAATGTTACTGAAAAAAAATATTTAGTGGGGAAGAAGAGAAGAAAGTTCAGAGAATGAGCGAGAGAGAAAGAG